AACCAAAGATGTGATCTTTGATAATCCATGGGAAGCCCGAGTCCAATGCTTCGATGTGCGAGCACAAGAGATGATCATGATTTGCTTCCAGCTTGCGCCGGCACCAGCACCGTGACCATGAAAGGTCAGCTGTTTGGAGAAAAAAGGTACGTGGTTTTTCTGTGAACTGGTCTCTGGGTGTGTGTGTGTGTTTTTGTGTGTGTCTACTGGCGTGACAAAACGTAATAACTGGAACACTGAAACGTCAAACAAGTTATATATAATCAAAACTGGTTAGACCCACCGGTAGCTTAATATCAATGACCACATGGAGCCATACTAGAATCCAGTTCAATGGCCACATCGAGCCATTGAACCTGCTCAGCAAAACCTTTGCAACTCATCAATGGCCACAAACCATTGAACCTGCTCAGCAAAACCTTTGCAACTTAATGCTGCATCCAAAGCCCTGGATGCAAAGCAAAGCCCCAGACAAGAGGAACGTCACATATGGATAGATGAGGACTTGCAAGAACATCACGATGAAGGTTCTTTCGTAGGCATGTTAGGAGATATTGAAGAGTCCGAGGAAGCTGAACATTCCACGCATGCCGAATACGATGAATTCGAAGACCATGATGATGTTGATGAGTGCGAAGCAATTGCCTTGAATGCAGTGGTCGATTGTGAAGATGCTGAAGAACGTTCCTCAGGTGATGCCATCCAATTGCAACTTCCCGCATTCGTACTGTAGCTTTTGGGAAGGCAAAAGGCAAAGGAAAGGGTAAGCCTAAGGGAAAAGGTAAAGGTAAGTTAGTGAAATCTCACCTTAGCATCGAGCAACGCCGTCAGAAACTGTCAGAGATCAAGGCGAAATCCAAGTGTCTTCGTTGTGGTGGATTAGGTCACTGGGCTGGAGACCCCCAATGTAAGATGCCAAACGCCCCAAAAGCTGGATCACCCCCGAAGCCTGCAGCTCATCTCGCTGACATGAGTGACTCATCCGACGACGAAGGGATTTTCCTAGGTGCAGCGTCTCCGACAGAGAGCACTGCTCACATGGCTGTGAAGGCCAGCTCTGGAGTTCGCCCGGAGGCGCCGGTGAGTCCCAATGATCTCGTAAGGCCTGAATGGGGGCGATCGGAAAATTTTGGCTGGTCAGTTCAGGGGAAAGACCTTTTGGCAGATTCTTCATGAACATCCTGATTACCACCAATGGGCCATCAAGAATGGTAAGAGTCCAATCGCTTCGGCTTTTGTCACATGGGTTGATCAGCACTTTGAGTACAGGGGAGCTTCAGTTTTCAGGAAGGTTGGTGGTGCTTCTTCTTCATCGTCATTGCAGCCTATCCCAAAAGGGTCCTCAAGGAAGAAAGCGCCATATCCACCGAAAGAGAAACGCAAGAATTGTACCGAGTTCACCAAGCAGGGGAGCACAGCATATACCATCAAGAAAACATGTCTTGTTTGTGGGAGTGCTACTTCTGAACGCAGAGAACAGGCCCCGAAGTTTGCTTTTGAAGATTGTCCACACTCGGATACCGATTTTCGAGGTTCTACCAGGACGGTTCATCGTGTGTATCGCAAGCTTTGTTGTTCGTTTTTGGATGAGACTCCGATGGAGCTCCAAAAGACTAGGAAGGCAGCCTCAGAGAAAGTCGTCAATGCACCACTCGATAGGATCCCGATCATTGAACGGTTGGTTGAAGACCCCCAAGATGGGCATACCCCTGAAGTGCTAGAGAAGATCTTGACCGTGTTTGCCGCCCAAGTCGTAACGGCCGCCGAAAATGAGGAAGTGACCACCGGAGAACTTTGCCGGTCTAGGTGAAAAGGGGACCTCCACAGAAGGATCCCGCACATTGCGCCATTTTCGTTGCATTTCGAGACAGGCAAGCCCACGCATGGTGTCCTTGAGTCCCACGACATCCAGATATCATTCGAGGCCTGCTCAAAGACAAGCGAACTGTGAGGAGTATTTTGCAGAAGGTCGACGACTTGCAATGCAGAGGATCGTGGAGTCATTGATCTTAAGTGCAGAAGTGGCCGCCGTCGCAGTGTCGGAGGATCCGTGATTTTGTATAGGCACTTGAGAGACAAGGGCGTGCGTTGTACAATCATTCACCAACACAGTCCAGAGCGGTCGTCAATGTTTTGCGGAGGAAGATGTGAACTTTGCGGCCCTGGCCATCGGGAAACTCCTTCATCTCCGATCTCAGAGCACAAGCGTTCAATCAGTCCCTTCGGCATCAGCGCCTGCACCGACCTCACGTGCACCTTGGAGGAACTTTTCAGTGAACCCTTCATCTGCATCAGGCTCAGTCCGGCCGGTGCCGGAGTTTGATGACGACGATGTTGAGGAAGTTGATACAAAGGAGATCGAACAGGAAGAGATCTCTGAAGAGGAAGGAGAAGAGGAAGCAGGAGTTGACGATTCGGCCATCTCAGCAGACGACAGTGCAGGTGGAAATCAGCAGATCACAAGCAGTTTTGCATGGTGAACCTGTTTTCCCCGAAAACGTTGTCAAGGAAGGTGTTCAGCAATCTTTTCTTGATGCACGCGCAGATCCGAGCGAATCCGGATTCTCATCGAATCTGAAGAAGCCGAACCCCGAATTCCGGATGCTGATTCACTACCCCCTGTTCCAAGAAGATGATGAATTAGATGTAGGAATCAGACCGGGTTTCTTTGATGAAGACCAATCCGAAGGTGAAGACGCGCTTGAAGAGTTGAGTAGGAGTAGGTGGTCAGGTTCCAACTCACGCCCATCGCCTGCTGCAGGAAGTGAACATGGTCGCAACGTGAGAGTGAACGTGGAACCTCATTGCAGCCACCCCGTAGGGAATCAACGGGTACTTCAAACGCATGGCCTAATGTGCGTGAACAATTGAACGACTTGCCAGCATCTCTGCAAGCACATTTCGAGAGAGCTCGCCAGAGAGACAGAGAGCAGACAGAGCAAGATCGGGAAGACGCACATGCCATGTGGACTAGCTTCCTTGCACAGACCGAAGAGGAAGTTCTAGGAGAGAAGGTCCTGAAAAGCATCCATTATGAATCTGCGCCCCCAGAAGTGCAGAAGGCCCTGCAGGAAGCAAGGCAAAAGGAATGGGCCAAGTTTGAAGAGTTCGGAGCCGTAGTGGCTTTGACTCCGGAACAAGCGCAAGAACTCATTGATGAAGGGCACCAATGCATTCCATCTAAATAGGTGGATGTAGATAAAGCGCAGTACAAGCAAGGGAGAGACCCCTGACTACAAGCCCATGTACAAAAGCAGACTAGTTTCGCGCGGAAACTTCGAAGTGACTGAGGGTTTGAGGTCAGACAGCCCAACGGCCGATGTCGAGATGCACTGTCTCGTCTGCAGTTGGGCCGCCTGCCACCAGACCGACGTCCATTCCGCTGATATCACCTCGGCGTATTTCCAAGGGCGACCATTGGATCGCGTCCTTCTCATGCGTCAACCAAGAGGAGGTTTGCCAGGTGTAGAACCCAATGTCCTTTTTCTCGTGAGAGTCCCAGTGTATGGAATCACAGACTCAGGAAGAGGCTTTTGGTTGCGTTTGGATGCCGATGCACGCAAGAGCGGTCTGAAGGCAAGCCAGTTTTTCCCAGAACTGTACTATCTCCCAGGTGAGCAGGGAGGAGACGCTTATGCCCTCGTGTGCACTCACGTGGACGATTTGCTCTACAGTTTTCTTCCGGAGGGCGAGGAAGTGATGAAGTCTTTTCTTGCCAAGTTCAGTGTCGGCAGTTCAGACACTAACCGCTTTCGATATTGTGGGAAGCAGTTTGAACTGGGAGATGACAAGGTCATCAAAGTCGATAACACTAGGAAGATCCATGGAGCAAATGCTGGTTCTAGGCTAGGCAGTGAGCGACTCCAGCAGGAGGACATCACGAAGCTTAGGTCGATCACCGGATCACTTGCCTGGATCTCGAGGCAGACCAGGCCTGACCTCGGCTACAGAGTAAGCCGTTTGCAGTCTAGCGTCAAGGACGCAACAGTGTCCACGTTGGCAGACGCTAACGCAGTCGTTGTCCTGGCGCACAAGGGTCACGATGTGGCATTGTGTTTTCCCGCGGCTCATCTCCAGTGGAGTGAAGTTGGTGTGATCACGGTCACAGGCGCTTCTTTCTCCAACAAGAAGAATTATAAGTCGCAACAGGGCAGGATCCACTTTGTGGGAGATCTCAAGGAGATCAAGGATGACAAGACAAGCGCCTACAAGGTGATGCCGTTGTCCTTCGGATCCACGACCATTAAACGTTTCTGCCGCAGCACTCTCCAGGCCGAAACGTACTCCCTCCAGAACGGACTCGAAACAGGCGATAAACTGAGAGGTGTGATCGCAGAGATCAAGGGCAAGATTCGAAGTATGAAGACATGGGAAGAAGAATGCGTTCCGCATTTGGCAATGACAGATTGCTGTTCGCTTTCTGACCACCTCAATCAGGAAGTCCTGGCCAAGGTGAGTGACAAACGCCTCGGCACGGAGTTGCAAGGCGTTCATGAGAACTTGTGGGAAGAGGGAACTCCCACGTGGATTGCTTTCGAGAAAGGAGGAGATAAGCTGATCTGGATTGCCGCCAGTACGATGGTGTCAGACTGTTTGACGAAGTCCATGAAACCAGATTTGTTGCTTCGAGTGCTGAGAGAGTGCCTTTACACCGTACAGAAACAGAAGTAGACTTTTTTTTGCCTTAGGAAAGACACAAGTGTTTCAATGTATAGCCGTGTGACACCTGTAGAACAGGTTGAGTGTGAATTTGAGGTAGGATCACATTCTGTTGAGCCAGGTTGTCACACTATGTTGTGTCTGCCGCCATTTGGCTCCTAGGGCCCTTGAGCTATACCGTGCTCGCTTTCGCACTGAAAAGAGCGTGTGGACAGTACGATTCCGATTGCTACCGACAATGTTGACCGTACTTCATATGTTTTGAGCAGATGTGTTCTGAAACGAAGTGCCAAACGTGGGAGATTCAACGTGCTGAACGACTATGCGGGCTTCGTGCTCAGGACACACGCTGCCGAAATTGCTTTGAGCCGTACCCTGGAAATGCACTGCGGAGTATGGAAGGATATGAGGATTGTTGTTGTCAGCTGAAGAATGCAACAGATACATTACATATTGGATTGACCTGATGCTGTTGTGGTGTGAACTTGCGTTCGTGTGTTCTGATCTCACTTTTTTGGTTTCTGGCTCTACATGTCTGGCTTTTGAGTTTTGAAGGCACTGAAGAGTTTCGCCCCAAAGAGCTGGCTGCTTTGGGATGGGCCTTAGCGGCTTCCGCTCAGGCCACATGACTCACAGAAAAAGGGCACTTGAAACATCTTTGAATGTTCACCCACTTTTCGTGTTTTGGAGATGCATGGGACTAGGAGATCAATTCAGATCTTAAGAGTATATTGTCCTTTGGATAATCGATTGCACACGTTCAGGAGGCACCAAAGACGCCAGAGATGTGGCGGCAGGCGGCTCGTACTGCCCTTGAAGTGGCTTTGGAAGAGCCGCACACTGGCCGAGGCGGAAGATGCACGTTTAGCGGAAGTTCAAAGACGGTTGTTGCAAGCTGTGACACTTTGGTTCGTGATGAAGCTGTGACTTTGATGTTTGCTAGCGTGAAGCCAGCCAAACGCCCTTGACCAGCCCTGGATGGGTTTGTTGATGCACCCGTCCCCACGATCCGTCTTGGCAAGCAGGATCGCTGCCAGTAACTGAGCTAACTTTTGCGCGCCTTCCTACTTTTTTGCGCGCTCACAAGATTCTTTTGCTCAAAACGTGGAAGTTTCGCCGCGTAAAATGTCTTCCTCTTGGAGTGAGTGAGACATTGATCTCAGTGCAGGTGGCCGGCTGCTGGCCCAGACAGCATGGGTGGACCTCTCAAATGAGTTTGTCGATGTGTTTGAAATTTTCGTGATTTTTCAACATTATATTTTGATGAGCAGTTGGATTGTTTTGGATGCTTCTGCCAGTCACAATTCTTTCACGAGCATGTTATTTGCTTGCTGCCCATCCTTGATCAGTTGAGTCAGTTGAAGCATGTTGAGGCACTCAGTTTCCGTTTAAAGTTCATTGTATACATGGCCATCTTTATTATCCCAAGAATGATGAGCCTGAGGCATGTGCTTCGATGCAGGCAGCGTCGCAACCGTTGTGGTGGCCCCACAGTCCAACTGGCTGTTCGTAGACCAGTGGCCTGCAATGAAAGAAGAGAAGATAGTGAAGCACAATACAAGCCCATTGTAATCGATTCTCTTAAGGTTGGATAGACTGGCCAATGCGCTTGCATATCACTGTGGAGGCCGGATCATTGTGCGCAAGATGTGTTTTCACACATTTGGTTCGGTCGCGTTCAGTTTGAGAATGCGAGGTAAGCAGCGCATTTTGTCGAACCAAGACGTTGCCAATGGCATTTGGGCGTACAGTGACTCAGGGAAGTGAGAGTCTTTGTTACTACTAGTAAGGCACTTGTTTCTAATAGCTTTTTGTTACTACTAGTAAGGCACCTGTTGCTACTAGCGAGGCACTTGTTAATACGAATCAGAGTTAAAGATACATATTCCATCACCGAAGATTTTTTGGCTTAGGCTTTCCATAATGTCATGCCAATCGCCATCATTGGAGGCGACAAGTGTATGCACAATATTTAGGGGCACCCTGTTGACGAGCTCACGCTGACTCACGCTTGACTCTGGCGAAAGTTGCTGAGTCTTCAGACAGTGAATGCTGTGATGGTTGTGCTGATGTCTATGTTGATCTATGCTGATTATGTAATAACTGAATTGCAGCACGTGTTAGATACGTCAATTACTAATCTCGAAAAGACTTGCCTGATGCACTCAAACCGCATGCCTTGGGTTTTGGGCAGCTTTTCCAATTGTGCGACAATGATGGTCTACTGAGTTTCCGGTAGTTGTTGCAAGGCGATGGTGAAGGAAGCTGAGCTCCGAATCCAGACCTTTGAAGCTCGACAGCTTGGACCCATATCCTTTTACTCTCGACTGAGCAGACTCTTATTTCGAGCCTTCACTTGAGCCGTACTCAGGCTGGCAGCTTGTGCAGGGAGCCCCAAACCACGCCATGGCTCGTGAGGGCTCCACGCTGCTTTCCTCCAAGTTTAATCGGCAGGTTGCATTGCCAAGGCGTGGGCATTGGCCACAACAAGGTATCAATCCAAGACCTGGTTGGAGGACTGGGAAGTGTAAATGTCTTTGCCCAGACCATGGCTTCACACCCACCATGCAACTATGTTCAATTGCGTTTGGAATACCTTGATGGTTGTATCATTTGTTGACACAATGTGCAAGCCAACATGATTCCATTACACTATATAGCTGATTTTCGTCCTACTAGTAGCCGACTCCACTTTCGCTAGGTGCTAGCTGCAGCAGCAGCAGCCACTAGCCATAGCAAACTGCTGGGTGTCAGTGCCTGGGTCTTGGCGAGTTGTGAAGTGCCCAAACTGCTGGAGGCCCGCAGTGGGGATATGGGTCTACAGAGCGGAAAAGAAGATAAAGAAGGAAGACAAAAACAAAGGAAAGGACAGAAAAGATATCTAGTTTGTATCGTTTTGTATATGACATCCTGTCACCGTACCCAGCCACCTCTTGCACTTCAGACTTCAGAGTGTTGATGAGATTTCCGGGCTCAAACATGGCGTTTCAACCTGAACATGCAAATAATTAGACTTGCTTTGGTTTTTGATGAAGCACCTCGCAGGCATTGCTACCAAATGCGGTGCAGCTCTTGCAAAACCCTGACAAAGTATCAGCCGAGACACTGTTGCAACTTGCCTCTCGGCAAGCATATGCATGCTGCTTCAAGATGTTGCTTTCTTGTTTTAGTTGAGTAACTTGATTTCACCAGTCAGCACTAGAGGACTTGGAGCCGCTTGGAGCTTTGTACATCTGCCAATTCAAAAATCTTTGTGGGTTGTGTAGTTTTGATGAACTTGTCGCAAGTGTCCAGGCATGGGCCATTTCATTCAGCGGCCTGGGAACAAAGCAGAGGTGAGACTCCAAGCAACAAAGAAGGAGCCTTTGGACTTGTGATGTTATGCCATCTCAGAAGATCCGAGCGACTTGAATCTATTTCCAGTTGGGAATGCTTCTTTTGTTCCTGCAAGTTGTTTTCCGCTTTTGCCGTCTAAAGTTTGCATGTAGCTCACGTTGATGGGACATCATGATTGAAATTGCAAAGCGCCTGCATGCAATTGGCATGACTTGGGCAGCTGGGTTTATTTTTGCTGCCTTGCGAGATGTGTTTAACGGCTATTGATGTGAGGCCGCTGCTGCTTCGCATCGAAGACTTGCTACGCTTGGAAGGAAGGCGGCGGGATGCTGCGATCAGGCAGGGGCAGCACCTCAGCAAAAGGAAAGGGCAACACTTCACACGGTGACAGATTTGTCCATCAGACGCCTGGTCTCTGTGCACAAGAAAACAGATTTCTTCACCAGGGAAGATCTCAGTGGGATGGGCACAGTAGTTGAAGCCGAGACTGCAGAAGTGGCCGAGGTCAGCAAAAACGATTCAAACAAAATACTGTACAACGATTCAACCATTTCAGTGTGAATTGGAGGTCACCGCTACTTACAGTTCAACAAGATTTGATATGTTTCAATTTGAAAATGTCCATGCATCACAGCATGGCTTTGCGTGTTTTCTGTGTGGCTGTGCTTTGGCAGGCTGAAGCTCCCAGCATCGTTTTGCAGGTGCGTCCTTGATGAGGTGATGACATGTAGTATTGAGGCTATCGACGTTGTTGTTTTCGAGCACCCAGGTTACATGTCTTTTGAAGCCTACTAGAGAGTTTTAGGCAATTCTGTACTTCAACCAAACACTTGAGTTGAACATCCTGCTGCTCTTTCATTCAAGGAGCAAGATTTTGTGATTGTCCACAAGCCAGTGCATTGGGAGGCTGGGGGAACCGGGCCTTGGAGACCATAGTGGCCTGCATCAAAAGCCAGCCTTTACATCCACTTTGCAGGTGGATGATGGGGACATGAGGAAGCCGTCAGGCGTTGTCTCAGTTAATGCATGCACACAACAAAACCCAATGGAGATTGAACAACAGTTAGCCAACAGATTTATGCTGACATAGGACAGGTCGGAGGCACAACACCCTTGAAGTTGAGAGAGACTCTGAACCACTTTTCACAGACTACTACCCATGCTTTTTAGTTCGCTGAAGCCTTTCTGGACTGAGCACCATTGGGAGGACGACGACCCTTTCCACTATCAAGATTTTTGCAGCAGCGCTTCCCAAGCAGGACTGTGTTGTTGGATTGGTTCTGGCGCAAAGTGGATTGGACAAAAATTTGGTTGGTGCTCCTGGGTGCTTTCTGAGTGCTTCATTTCGTTTTGGCAAAAAAAGGAAACCTGGCAGTGACTTGCAGGTCCATTTTGCATGACGTCACCGTCGGCGGCGGCTTCCAGGGTCACTCAGCCTGACTCGTTTCGAACCACAAACCGTGATGCAAGACCATTTGGAACTAACCTCACCAAGACCACCAAGTGTACACCAAATACTTGTGAGATTTGGACTAGTCTTTGTCTTTGGGTCAAAACCACCTGCAAGTTGTCCACCCTTTGAAGGGTAAAACTGCGAGGAGTGGTGCATGCACACCAGCTATCACGAAAGCTAGCTTCACCTAGCTGGAGTTGTGTACTTTCGCTTTAGCAAGTTATTGGCTGGGGAATGGAATCGGCCTGTGGTTGCTAAATGTGTGAGCTGGATCTACTTGCTCTCCGAACTTTTTGCGAAAAGTCGAGAAGTGTTCGGTCACTTGTCTTGGCCGCGAAAAGTCGAAAAGTAAACCTTGAATCACCTGTGAAATTTCCTCTACACATTTGGTCAACCCATGTGTTGGAAACGACTATTTTGTAGAGAAAACAGTGGTTTTCTACAGAATCACTGTCCTGGGTGTTCCTGGATTTGTAGAGTGATCAGGGTAGATTTTGAGCATGTTAGCAAAAACATGATTTGCAAGGCAGGGTCCATTTTATAGAAACGGCATTTCTTACATATCTTTCCGTTGACTCGAGCATGTGCACCCACCCACCATGATTTTGTGGGGAACCCATTTTGTAGAGATGGGTGTTTACGCATCTTCCTGTTGACACATGGATGTGCGCCCGCCCACCATAATTTCGTAGAGAGACAGATACCATTGTGTAGAGAAAGCAATACACCAATCACCAAGAATTTTTTGGAGGTGGGAGTCACTTAGTGAAATATTTGTTAAAATAATTAACTAAAATAGTTATTTGGCAAGCCATGTAGGTGGTGGTACCAAAATAATGTTCACTAAAACCGTCTAGGTGGTGCAAAACACGTTGCATATGATAGATATATATATATAGATATTATATAATTCTAATTAATTTTGAGTCTATGACCACCCACCTGTACAAAATTATTTAGACATCATTTTGAGTATATGAGGACCCACCTCAAATTATTTCTAAATAAATTTGAGTTTCCGCTCCCAAACAATGGCTGCGCGATGCAAGTCGTCCCAGTCATTGGTTCGCAGTGGAAACTCAAGGTTTTTTTCAATCGTTAAAAGGTGTTCCTAGGTCATCAGCCATGAAGCTAGTGTAGGAATACACAAGCATGGAATCAGGCAAAGGAATCAGGGTCAACGTAGCAAACCTCAAAGTCGCTAGTGTTCTCACTTTTTGCTGTTGAACTCCAGCACAGGGTTTAACTGTTTGGATTTTCTCAAAACCATCACCCTTCCCACTCTTCCAAAATGAGACCCTCCAGGGACCCTGATTTTGTAGAGATTGAGTGGGAGGCGGGAAGGGTGATTCC